TGAAAACCATACAAAAGTGACGTATTACTTTAAGTACGATCACTTTTGCCATGAAATTTGTGAGATCGCTGGTCTAGGAAAAATATCAAGCCAAGGGAATAAAGCATCATATAATATACTCATATTCTGCTTGATCTTCATCGTTGACCTTCTACGTATTTTGAGAACATTTTTTAACTAATATAGAGTTTTATATGACGAGAAACTTTGTCGTTTTTATTCTGTGGGCTCTTCAACAAAATTTTCTAGGCTTATAGATACCTATTTAATCCAAGATTCGAAAAATCTCCACGTCAATTCAAGAAAATCAAATTTTTCCATTTCGAAAAGTCTTGAATATGCCTCCTCGAATTTTATATTTCTCTTCCGTGAATAATCACAAGTTCTTCGGTGCAGTTTCTAGTTTTTGACCACATCCGCCATCATGTTGGTTTCCTATCTTCCGTTACGGTAATTTGGTTGTATTTCAAGAAGGCCAACAATGATTTATGTAACTTAATTTGAGAAATAATTAATATCAATACATAATTTATGCCATATAGGTTCTTAGTTGTTAATTAAGAATCTCAAGATTTAAAATAAATTTATTAAATTGTTATTGATTTTATTACAATTTATTTGTTCATACGGTATAAATTTGATTTTAAATTTTATTAATTCGATTATTTTCAATTGAACCTTTATTTCCGCGTATTTAATGCATTAAGAAATGACATAAAGTTATTTTCCACCTTGCACTCTCCTCCATGTCAACCATCTCGTCCCTACATAATTCCTCTAGCTATATTACAACCCTTATCTATTCTATCCATGAACATCTGCTTTTGCAAAGTCAGGGCAAATAAGCGAGTAAATAAACCTCTGCAAATTTACATGGGTGACTCACGCGATGTTGCAGCGCATTAAATATTTTTCATTTCCGTTTCACACTTCAATGGCCATCATAACGACCAAATTTTTCTTCCCAATATACTGTACATACGTCCCAATTCCAATGGTGTATCTTAAATCCCATAAGTCCCCCAAATCGCGAGTCTTATTTGTTTAGTGCTTTTTAAATATTATACGTCACGTACAGTATATCATATGTCAAATGTTATACTATACGCACAATTAAAATGTTAATTTTCAGTTTTGTTCCTTTACCGTGCAATTTTATTCTGAAAAACACTTTACCAATACTTACTGTATTTCGAGTGTCGTATCTACGACTATCATATAATTATAATAATGCGAGATGGTTATCTGATTCTTCTGTGAAACAGTTTTTTCGGCAATAAGCGAACATTGAGAATTAATTAAGAGCAGATCCGGTCAGTTATTTCATCAAATAATTGGGCTGTTCCTGTAAATAGTTAAATACGATCGAAAATTTAAATGTCTGCTTGTCATTAATAAATAAATTACAATATAATGCGTAACAGATTTCCATTGCAACTAGAACATTTATAATACGATATGTTTCAAACTTTTAACATTATTAACGTGTGGATTCCTGTTGGGCTTAATAAATATCTTGGTAGGAAGTAAATTGATGGCGACAATTTTTCGACTCAATTAATAATTGTATTCTGCATAATGTAAGATACGTATTGGCAATGATGATGTTTTTTAATAATAAGATTCTTGAGTCTATTTTTTTATTAAACTTTTCAGAATCTTTTTCTATTTGTGCGTTAGCTTTTAAAAATGAAAAATAAAATAAGAATTATGTAGAATACACAGCATAGTATATACAATATAAGTATGCTTGATAATTATGACATATGGATCACACGTAAACTGTTAACCTATTGATAAACAATCCCTAAAAATTTCTTTGCACCTTTTTACTCTCGAAAAGATACATGCAGTATATATTTAATGAAATTCCAAATCATTTTTAAGAAATAGTCAATTGCACTTATACATCAGCATCATAGCCAAATTCCCATAATGTTTGCAATAACTTTCATGATATACTGTAGAACGAATATCAAGGGCTTCTGAATCTTTTCATTTAATATTTCCCACCGGCATCTGAATTGCGATAAACTTCCATCACATCTCAGAATTTTGATATTTATCAATACGTAATTATTTACAGTAAATACGTATCGTTGAAATGAAATTCAGTACTTTTTAATTGGGATTAAATGATAATAATGTAGTAATTTTAGTATAATACATTTGAGCATTAAGACATGAACAAATAAACCCACCATTATGGCATCTTAATACGTATATATATTCAGCATGCTCTCGTGGAATATTCTAGCAGGAAAAAATATTTAAGACTAGTGATATAGTGTATCTATCTTTTACTTGCAGCTTGTTATTATAGACAACGTGATTTATATAGAGACACTCTAATTTCAGAATTTTCAAACCTTGAATGTTGACGGCAACTACGTATAGGATAGTTGAACAATAATCTGTAAGACTAAAAAATAAGATTAAATCTTTATGTTTCCTAATGTTGGTACTTATAAAGTTACGTACTGAATTTAATGCAGTTCTTTATTTTTTTAACGAACATTAGCAACTTTCAAAATCTTTTTAACCGACGCAATAATTATAGAAAATGGAACAAGTTTATACCAGATATTATCAGTATTGCATTTTATATGCTTTCGTATTTATCGATGTTTTGCATGACTTCAGATGCAGTATATTAAATTTTACAGGCCTTATTTAGCCAATGGATATAGGGTTTTGATTTGCCAATACAGTACGTATTGTTTATTTAATCTTAAATTACTGTACCTCTGTGGCGTCTTACGTAATATCTTATTATTACGAATAATATAATCGAGTAAAAACTTGTTTTTCCTAACAATAAGAAAAAAAAGAAAAGAACAACCGAAAAATCATTATAAATTATTAAAAGGATAAAGAAATTTTAACGAGAATCTGTGCGCTGCTCGTGCCTAGGGAATGCATTGCGATCAAATACTCTCATAGTTACGTATACAGTATCTTTGATATGCTGTCGGGAGTGCACAACCATGCCCAAATTACTCATGTTACGAGGAATACGTAGTGCGTTCTGACCACAAATAATTCACGCGCTGTAGGGGCACGCAGCTATACGTTGTGGGTGTACATAGCCGCGCTCACATCAATAACACGTGGTGAGTATGCAGCCGTGTTCAAGTTTGTGACACGTTCGCAATTTCAGTACCAGAGGAAGGGAATTGTGATACATTAACTAGCATTGAGGCGAGATAAAGCTATAAACATGTGAGGGATGCGATAATCAAACAATGTGGTAAACACAATTTACCGTACGTACATATTATGATTCCTTATGTACTGAAATAGTCGATCAAATCCTCTCTAGTAACTACTCATATATGCGCAAGAAAAAGCATCCAGAGTTTCGAGACTTGGTTGATTTCATCGAATCATTTCGTAACTCTTACAATACTTCTACTGTCTACGTATTGGATAGAGGGTATTATTTTTCATTTTTTACGTTTGAAAACTGATCATGATATAAAGACCGATATTCTCATACCCCATTTATGGCTAAAGTTCTTGGAATGGATGATGCAGCAGGTATTTCGGAATTTGCAATGAATTTCTACTGTCACAGCACTTATGTTTAAAGAATACATTAGTAAACCATATTTAAACGTAACCTGAGCCGAAGAATTAAACAATATTCACTGATAGTATTCTACTGTAATATACAATTGTTTACCATTTGTTAACTCGGGGTAACTCGCGTAACCTGGGGTACAGTATATAAAATACGCAAAACTGAAAAAACAATGTTGGTGGTTAAAATTATCAAGATATTTTTAAGAAAAAACTTTATCTGTTCCATCTAAAGATCACGTTTCGTACAAATTTGATGACATCAATGCTCTTTTTGTATATGAATACTCTAAGTATTACATATTATCTTTGTTAAAATTTGCGTATGCTACTACACTTAATGGGGCATAAATTGAATTATTATCACTGGAATGATCTGGTAGAAACAAATTTTTATGTACTACCGTATCTTTTTAGTCTACTTTCCTTGATAATTAATTATTTATTCTATGAATTTGTCCAATTATTTCTATAGGTTTTTTTAATAAATCGTTGACTTTATCTCTTATTTTTATCCTTGCATTATGCGTAAGGCTTGTTGATAAAACATTATTCTCTTGCCTATTAATAAATCATCAAGGGATAGAAAGAAATTACTTAATGGTTTTCCATCCATCGAAATCGTAATTTAGCCGACGACAATAACTAAATTACTGTACTAGAAAATATAATTACATAAATTATATTCTTATAATTTTTTGCTTTTCATTATTTACAGTATATAGATAATGTATTGTTTTTTGCATAATTAAATAAAATAAGAATAATAATAATAATAATAATAATAATAATAATTTATTTTTTAATTTTCTACACTCGGTATTTAACCAACTCTGGTCTTAACAAGTTCAAGAGAATATGCAGCTTTATTCAAAAAGCATCTTTATAATTGATTATAAGCTGGATAAAATTGACAGCGGAAGAAAGAGCAGTCATATAATGCGTACATGGTGTACTGGCATTGATGCGCTTGGTGAGCGAGCAGAAAATATGATGAATCGAAAAATCAATTTTTAGAGAATTAAATTTTGAAATCAAGTAAATGATTCATTCTTGTAATTATAAATGCGAATAATATTCCGATATAAAAATTTTCGCGATAATTATGCACAATGCTTTCATTTTTAAATACTTTTCGCATACCAATTTTTTAAATCAAAAAAAGAGAACTGAACACGTAAATATAACAATAAAATGAAGAATGATTGTTTGGAAAAAATAAGAATCATCATTAGATTTAAATATGATCGTTTGAATGTTAGTATGATACGTAATTGCAACGTTTTATCCACATGAGCTTGAAATTTTGCAGGCGTCTCCGAAAATGGCCACCCACCACGAAAGGTTACTGCTTAAAATACCTAGGCAAACTATTAAAGTCAATATAATAGCTCCAGAAATGCAAAACCAATAGTGAATTATTTTAGGGCCTTCCACGGTTTTTTCTCCTTTAATATGTGAGACAAGTGCAATAAAGCTGTTGGATGACCATATAGAACAAAGAATTGTTATATACTTGCTCCTGCAACCAAATCCAATTGGAGGAGTTAAATAGGTTAGGAATACCGATATCCAAGGGAATATTATAGAAACCACAGCAGTAAACAGAACGCCGCTTCTGACCCTCCGTTTTACGGAATCATTAAAAGGTACCACTTCTACCATGACAGCGCCTTCATTATGTTCATATACCGATTCAATATCTGATTCGTTGCTCGGTTTGTCGTATTCTTCTGTTTTTACTGCATCTAGATTCGATTGTTCGACTTTTTTTTCCAGAGGAATAACATTGGGATCCTTGAATACTACCCTTCCACCAATTATTCTTTCATAAACTGCTGGCAATACCCATGACAACGCTATCGGTATATGTGGCCAGTCATTGGCGAGACACCCAAAAAGCAAATAGATGCCGGCAATGATGCCCATTACTATGTGATACACCGATAAAACCGAGGCAAACCTGTCCAGAATCGTTGCTTCTGACACGCACTCCTCTAGCAATAGTTTTTGATTATTTCGAGGACACAAATCCATAGCATGATATCCAAAAGGTCTGTACCGAAGAGGGACAATAGTCCCGTTCTTTTTTTCATAAAAATTGTCACACTTCAACCAGTATGCGCTCATCGCAATTTTAGTTTTGTGCTTTCCTTGACTATTTTTCCATCCTATGTTGAAAAAATAAAAGATTCCCACGAACGGGCACCCTAAACACCTAAGAACCCATACAAGTCTTTCCATGAGACCCTCATAAGGTGTCGTTCCTATGGTCGCTATGGCCGCCAAACAAGCTACCACATATGGGGGCGCGGGTTCTTGCAGCGTATCCAATATGCTTTCTACTGATGTATCATTCTTCATGGTGTACTGAAATATTGGATGCACAAATTTTCAATACGTCGTTTGATCAATGCGACAATTCGAGAGGCGGCACGTTTTTGAATCGTTTTAAATACAGTATTGCGATGCCATTGGTGAAACAACCTCTCCATGACTCATTTCCTTTTATGACAATTATAATCGATTTTCCACTTTTCTATTTTTGTGACAAGGTGACGGCGTTTTGTGCTCAAAATTTGTCATTTAATCTTCGACGCATGATAACGCTTAGCGTCTACATTTCGACGCCATCCCGCATAATTAAAGTGCTTACGGTCTTCATCATGCACCAAATAATGAAAACCTCAATGGTAGGCAACCTTTGAGCATTGAATTTACGCATGCTTTTAAAATGGCTTCACAAGTAATCGAATCTTTAAATATTTGAATTCAATCGTTCTACAAGTTCACCGTAACAAAATTTTCTTTTCTTAGATACCGTTTTAAACGTCTTTGTTTGAATAATTTCTCTTATATAATCGAAAGTTCGTAACTTTCTCTAAAAATAAACAATTTAATCAAATCTGGATAACTTTATTTTATTAAGATACTGTATATAAATATTTTGTCAATCATTATACGTACGTACGTAGAATTAATTTCATCTGTTAATAAGAAAACGTCATTCAATACGTAAAAGTAATTTCAGAAATTCTTATTTAAAAATGCAGTATACATTTTTGAAAATGTTAAGATGATAAAAATGACCAATAAAAATTATTTGTCAAAGTAATTACGAATTCAAGCCAAATTCACACGAATAAACAAAGCCATTCGTGATAATTGCACTCAAAAGTTCTAAAAGAAGAACGTGGTACATTTTTGTCTTACGACAACATTTTGTAGGTCTTGTCGTTTAGACCTGTTGAATTCTTTCGAGCAATGTTATTTGTTATGCGTGTCTTCTTGATTGTCTCCATGCGAGACATATTAATCCTCTTATTGTGATGTTTAAATAAGGAAAGATGGCTATAAATATCATTGATAAGCTTCGCAATTCTAATTTTCACAAAAATTTGCTGATACACGGTTTCTACATTGTTTTTTATTATTTAAAATGTCTCATTAAGAAAACCCGACTGTTGCAAACCGTTGTACGTGCATATGTGCATGCATGCATACGTACATATATATTACCACGACTACGTATAAGATGAATTAACAAAGAATTCCCTTTTGTTTTTCTATAAAATAATGATCCCTTCTTTTTTTTTTTTTTCAATTGTCTTCCTTTTCACCTCTCTTTATTTTTCTTTCTTCCTCTCTTTTATTGCCTTTTCTTTTCTTTTCTTTTCTGCGTTCATTTCTTTTCCTTATCTATTTTTTTTTTTTTACAGGAATTCAGTATGCATTGCTTGCTACGTACAGGATTACACTTGTTTGATCATCAAATTGTGCACATACTGTACAGTACATGTACAGTACGTACAGTACGTACGTACTGCACACATTGTGCATTGTTCTGATTTCCGTCCTTGTCACTGTACGTATTACGAAAATGGCGCTCCGATGGCTCTCTGTGTAAGACGTAAACCAATTTTCATTAACGATAAAGCATTAAACAAATCATCACGGGATTAATTCGCTAGATTTATTACATAAAATCAATTTTTTGTGTGATAATAAAATAAATTTTACTAATAGCAACATGCTATTGAGAAAAAATAAAAAAATTTATTTTCATTTTTCTGATTATTATAAAATAATATGCATGGAATGTTAAGAAATTACCGTGAATAAAATAAAACAACCTTTATGTTTTTATAAAATCATTTAAAAAGGGTCTGTTTCAATAATCAATCTTTTAATGTTATTTAATTTCGAACAATGCTTACTTTTGATTCCATAATACTTAATAAATTCGCCTATAATTTGACAATTATTTTATAAAAAATTAGACTATCGCCCATTGGATCTTTGGCATAGTTTAAAGTAGTTTATCAAGAAATCTGTCAGTCAGATTATATATGTGATATTGCATTTCTCGAATAAATTACGTAAAAATATTATCATTTCAATTTCCAATTTTCAATTAAGAAACCCCAATATGTATTATCGAATATTATCAAACATTACGCTTATACGGCATGGAAGATTATTTATATCAAATTTACTAAAATTATAATATTGCAAATTTTTTAGTGTGTAGTTAATTTCAGGAAAATTAAACAACTTTTTTCGAGTTTGATACTGTTAGCATTGTGCCCGAAAGTCACGATCTTAAACACGTGATCAAACATACGCTTGGACGTGACTTTATGCAGCTGGATTATCTAGTTCCTCATATCTCTCTGATAAGTTATTTGAGACTTCGAGATAGCCGAGTCAAAATTGTATTAGTAAGCGATTATATTAAATAGAATGCAGATATATAGCGCAATAGTAAAGTATAAAAAGGATATAAAAGTGCATGCATAATATATGCTTATTCAAATTAATAAAAATGTCACAAAAGTGAAATTAAGTTTGATCGTAAGGCGGAAATAGTGAGAAGCACTTAATCGACCAAATCCAAACATTTCTTTCTACCTTATGCGTGTATTTATGCATGCAATTTCATTACACAAATTGATGCCGAGTTAGAGACTAACTCGCCATAAGTCACATTAATATTGGTATGTATAGTATTAATATTAACTAAGAAATGATCTTTGAAATCAAAATTTTTTAATATAAATGCATAAAAATATACATCTTGGAATTTAATATTTAATAAAAAACACGATTACTTATATTAATTATATAATTATGTTTTTTTTTTCAATATACAGTAATTAATAACATTTTGAAAATTATCAATTGCTTATATTTAAAAAAATTCGTAAATATGAGTCCTAACCGGCCTTTATTAAATAGGTAATATTACATCAACACTTTATATAATTGCAAACTTTTTGTTAGATATTATCAGTTAAAAAACTAGACTACTAAAAAGTTTAATAATGTTCACTGATCTAATTTAACCAAAATAACGTCCCAATTAGGTACTCTAAATAAAATTTAAAGACCCATTTTTTGAATCTTATAAGTATCACATTTAAAACTTTTAATAAGAAAATCATTGTTAAACATTTTGCCACTGTTTATTATCCCAAAATTAATAATTTTTTGAATAAAACTATATAAAAAAAAAAAGCAAAAAATCGAGAAATCAAAATTTGGAAGCATGCATACAAAAAAATATTAAAATTAAATTTTTAAAATATTCTTTATTTTTGCATAAACATTTTCTCAAAAAAATATTTTAATTAAAATATTCTTCTTGCTTTGATTATCTAAAAAATGTTTATACTTTTAATCTTAGGTAACTTCGTTATAATTATTTGAAAAATCTTATTTTCCTTTACTATATATTAATACTATGTTTATTGTATCTTTAAAAAATTACTATATTATAAAAAAGTTTATTTAATTAAAATAAATAAAAGATTGTATTTAAAAAAACCTTATTTAATTAGCATTTTAAAATACAAAGATTCTATATATCATCTTTATTAAGTAAAGACATAAAAATTTATAAAATATTATAATAAATTTATTATTCATTTTTTCAATATTATAATACCTTTTTATAAATTGAATTTATTTAAATTTTATCTAAACTACTAATAGAATACTAAATTATTTTCAAAGTTATACTTTGAGATAATATTGACTAAATTTTTTTTTTTTTTTTTTTTTTGCTGGCTCAGCCCCCAGTTGGTCTTTATTTAGCTTTTACTCAGATATTACATTGTGCTATCTATTTCAGAGCTAACT